GGGAATATGGCCAAAATATTGAACCTGGCTTAACGGCCCATCAAGGTCGAATTCAACTTTCACGTGGTTCCTAAAATATTGAGTGATATTTCCTTTACTAAATCCCAGCAATGCAGATGTAAAAACCTGCATGGATATTACACCTTTGGATACATTCCAAGTTTGTCCCACGTGGCCAGATTACCAATATTCCGGGGGGAATATATGGCCACTTCTCAAGAAACAACTGAAGGTTTTTGATGTACGAGGGTAATTTCATTGTTATTCACATAACTTCAAAAGCGAAAAAATACCGGTGAAGTAACTCCTGGCATGATGTTGATCAACATATGCTTACTTTATTTCACTTCCCTTCATAGAAGGGTTCTCAGCGCATGCTGTCAGCTCATTTTTTTCTAGTATTCTCCCCAAATTAAATATAAAAGGCCTTAAATGGAATCGCGTTATTCTCATAAAGAAGCAACCAAGAAAACAGGTAGTTTTGTGAACTGATTTTCTCTGATTACTCATACTCGTACATTATTGCTTGTTATGTCATATTGATCAGGATTTTATGCCTTTCAACATATAAAATTTCGGATTGAAAGAGCCTACGACGCCACATCTTAGGAAGATATCCATTATTCACATAACGAAATGAAGGATCGCCAAATGGCGTGTCTTCATTAATATGTTGAGATTTTATTTTTCATTATAGTTGGCGTCAGCACCCAAGTATATTGCAGAGGATTGAGTACATACGCGTACTTTGACATAACAAATTCTCACATTTTCCCCGTTTGACCTCTAGCTTTGGGAAACCCAGTATCTAATGTAGCCCTGCTTTCTTTTTTGCGAGGACTATGGGACAGCGATCAAAGATGACCAAAAATAAGAAAATTCCTCAACATTAAGACAATTTTTTCTGTGCGTAGCGGACAAAAAGTCAAAGAAGTAACATGCTTTATCGATGCAACCGAAAGAGGAGTGCAACTTATCATAACGTCAGTTTTCCCTCTTCCCTCCCGACATAGGTATACTTTTTGGTCAAAATTGCAGAAATAAAACGTTATCAATCTCCATTACTGATTGAATGTATTGATTCTAGGATGCTTGTATAAGTTTATTCTCGTTCCATCATTATTTCGACAAATTAAAGCAGTTTGAGTGGAAGCAGGTAGGAGTGTCATGTACTCGAATGGGTTTTTCTACCCATTTGCGACCCCTTTCACTCCTTTTTTATCCTCGCCATCGGGCATAAACCCAGCCCCCTCACCTTGGGCCGGAGGACTACTTTCTCCGGCCAGCTTTGCCCTTAAATAGGGGAGGTCCTCCGACATTCAGGGATTCGCAGAGCATTCTCCGGGCATTCCCGAGGCATTCGGGGATCTTCCNCAATTGACTCATCGATCCGCAAATTTAAACTGTCTCACCTGAATGCTACGAGGCGGAATTCGCTGAGAAATTGAATACATCCAGATAAGGGTTCCCTGCTGACGTACAGCAAGGCATCTCCTATTATTGATCCAAAGCATGACACTTTGAAATTCTAACTTTATCCCCTTACTAATTGTATTTTCTCTTACTGCAAATAAAAACTAACCTTGAGTTATTTAATAATGCTGAAAATTTGGTTACTCGCGAAGCGGATCGCGCGGGACGCGGATGTGGTCTAGTCTATGTACAGGGTGTGCCAAAAGTAGGTATACAGTTGCCTATTTTATTTTCATATTTATTTGCAGGTAGTTAATTGACTGATCACTGACGCATTTCAGGAATTGGACGCAAACAAATATATTTGCGACATTGTGTGTTACAGAGTGGCAGACAGACTCCAGGAATGTGCGAACAATGAGGGCAAACTCTTTCAGCATCTTACGGATTAACATTTCCATGTGTTTTTCTCACTCTCACCCCCTCTCTTACACAGTTCGCACATGCAACTGTATACCTACTTTTGGCACACCGTGTATAATAGATAGATAGGATATATAAGGATATTTAGGATATTTATATTATATTTAAGTCTGAAATATCTCAGTATATTTAAGTCTGTAATATCTATAGGATATTTAAGTCTGAAAATGCCATTGGATTCCGGTGGGAATCCTATGGTTCCTTTTATGGGATTCCTACATGAACATATGCAAGAGAATATTTCATTAGATTTCTTTAGGAAATAATGCCAACAAATTTCTACTGAATATGGATCAAGGAATGACAATTTAACACAACAAAATAGAACATAAATCAGAAATATGGTAGTATGCTTGGGCAGAAGTCCACTAACACATGAGGATGGAAATATGCGCTTAAAAAATTGTAATATTTGTTCAATTGTTGGAGAAAACGAGATTGCGAAAAATGGAAAACAGGGGCATAATCTTTGCAGTAAGGTTATGTACGAATTCATAACTATGACAAATTAATTACTACAAACATTGCGATCTTGCCGTACTTCAGAAACGCATTCATCTGAAAGACACACAAGGGAAGCAGCAAAATGGGCATTACAAATGTGAAGCATTATGTGTACAGTACGAACACTAGTAAGTGGTTGTTGAAGCATCACTCATATAGGAAAGTGCACCTCTGAAGTCGTTTAGATTCATCATTACACTGGCCTCTGAGAGCTCCTTTTATGCCTTTCAAAGGTGCTTCTGGGAACTTCTTTTCAACACAATCTGTCATGACAGAGAAGATATCAGTGATGCACCCAAATACATCATTTATCAAGTAATATGTTAATTTGGGGAATATGGCCAAAATATTGAATCTGGCTTAACGGCCCATCAAGGTCGAATTCAACTTTCACGTGGTTCCTAAAATATTGAGTGATATTTCCTTTACTAAATCCCAGCAATGCAGATGTAAAAACCTGCATGGATATTACACCTTTGGATACATTCCAAGTTTGTCCCACGTGGCCAGATTACCAATATTCCGGGGGGAATATATGGCCACTTCTCAAGAAACAACTGAAGGTTTTTGATGTACGAGGGTAATTTCATTGTTATTCACATAACTTCAAAAGCGAAAAAATACCGGTGAAGTAACTCCTGGCATGATGTTGATCAACATATGCTTACTTTATTTCACTTCCCTTCATAGAAGGGTTCTCAGCGCATGCTGTCAGCTCATTTTTTTCTAGTATTCTCCCCAAATTAAATATAAAAGGCCTTAAATGGAATCGCGTTATTCTCATAAAGAAGCAACCAAGAAAACAGGTAGTTTTGTGAACTGATTTTCTCTGATTACTCATACTCGTACATTATTGCTTGTTATGTCATATTGATCAGGATTTTATGCCTTTCAACATATAAAATTTCGGATTGAAAGAGCCTACGACGCCACATCTTAGGAAGATATCCATTATTCACATAACGAAATGAAGGATCGCCAAATGGCGTGTCTTCATTAATATGTTGAGATTTTATTTTTCATTATAGTTGGCGTCAGCACCCAAGTATATTGCAGAGGATTGAGTACATACGCGTACTTTGACATAACAAATTCTCACATTTTCCCCGTTTGACCTCTAGCTTTGGGAAACCCAGTATCTAATGTAGCCCTGCTTTCTTTTTTGCGAGGACTATGGGACAGCGATCAAAGATGACCAAAAATAAGAAAATTCCTCAACATTAAGACAATTTTTTCTGTGCGTAGCGGACAAAAAGTCAAAGAAGTAACATGCTTTATCGATGCAACCGAAAGAGGAGTGCAACTTATCATAACGTCAGTTTTCCCTCTTCCCTCCCGACATAGGTATACTTTTTGGTCAAAATTGCAGAAATAAAACGTTATCAATCTCCATTACTGATTGAATGTATTGATTCTAGGATGCTTGTATAAGTTTATTCTCGTTCCATCATTATTTCGACAAATTAAAGCAGTTTGAGTGGAAGCAGGTAGGAGTGTCATGTACTCGAATGGGTTTTTCTACCCATTTGCGACCCCTTTCACTCCTTTTTTATCCTCGCCATCGGGCATAANACTCCTCGGCAGTGCAACTCTCGCCTGCCATTTCTTCTACTCCTCGGCAGTGCAACTCTCGCCTGCCATTTCTTCCACTCCTCGGCAGTGCAACTCTCGCCTGCCATTTCTTCTACTCCTCGGCAGTGCAACTCTCTCCTGCCATTTTCTTCCACTCCTCGGCAGTGTATTTCGAGTGTCATCACTTCTCGCGAGCCGCAGAACCCCATGCTACTACCACTTCATCCACATCCTGGTGACCTCCGTTCGGAAGATATTCTGTTCTAGAAATACTAAACCTTGTGCAAATGGTAACAAGTGTATTTCCTTTCCCTACCATTCAAATACTGTTCACGTGAGGCTTGGCGCTGAACCTACGCCGACGTCAGCCTGCTACAATAGCGGCAAAAGAATCAACGCTACCCATCTCTCAACAGCACCACTAAAGCAAACCACATGACATTGGTGTCAGGAGTAAAGGAACCATTGGAAGCTGACTGACCGTGGCACGAGTAGTGAGGGTGGATTTGTTAAGAGGCATGGTGGAGTTGAGGGGAAGGCCCCCATTGTATGGTCCCGCAGAGGACATTGGTCCCATAGAGGACATTTGTGTATACTCCCATGTACTCACCACCCAAGTATCCCAGCAGTCAATTGTGCACTAAGTCTGGAGGTCCAGACTTCCTTAAGGAGGGGATAGTGTAATGATAAAGATGGCATTGAGAGGCACGGTTGAATGTCCCGGGTTCGGTGGTGTAGTGGTAGCACACCTGACCGGCAATCAGGACGTCCGGGTTCAATTCCCGGCCGTCCCCTGGCTCTCTATCGTCCTCTCCTGCCATCCAATCTTCCGGCCATTCTCATGACAGGAGGATATCTCGAGCAGATGTCTTCCCATGACATATTGTATGTCAATCTTCCAGCGGTATCTCTCCCCCTCTAATAGGGTCATGTGGTGACGACGCAATGCAGAACTTGGCAGGTGCGGCCGTTCACATCCCGAATGGAGAAAACTCAGGGTCATGCTAGATATAAAAATCTAGATCCGTCGTGTATCCACTCCAGTCACTCCCCTCACGATTTTCACAATTCGTCTTGAAAATGAAGGAATCCTCTAAATTCCTCTCTCCGTTCGTGTTCCTTCTTGCTTGCATTCCCGGTATGACAGGACAGTATTGCCCTGATTCCAGTGACATCCTCCCCTGCACCTGCTCTGGAGCAGACGAGAATGGTATCAGTGTGGACTGCTCCGATGCCACGTCGAGCGCCCAGATTTTCGCCGCCTTCAATGACGCAGTTTGGCCTTTCAAAAATCTTGCGTGAGTGAGACCACCCGGTTAATGAGATTCTATTGCTCTTATGCATTCTCATTCAAATGTACATGCGCCTATTGCGCCATTTCTCGCTCACTTTTTTTTTCCTGCTGTTCGCTTTTTGCCATGAAATCGAATAAATGATTTACCTTTTTCGAGAAGACAAAAATGCAACGTGGAGATTAGCGGAAGGAGGAAGGGTGAGATTTTGAAGGACGGAATCATATATCTCACCATAAAGGAATGAATTATTTTACTTAGTCTTCACCCCATTGAGGGGCAATGAAACTGATTTAAGGCACTAGGGGAAGATGAAAATTGACCCTCCTGGAATTAAATTCTGACTCATAATTATTAAAGAGGACCCAGAGGGAGGGCCTTGGAGCCAGTTTTTGCACTCTCAGGTCAAGGACCTGCCCCTGGCAGAATAGTGAAATTTCACGATTTGCATCCCTCTCTTTGAAAATCTGTGTCTCCTCGACCCTCGGTCGCAGATGAGGGAGGGCCTTGGAGCCAGTTTTTGCACTCTCAGGTCAAGGACCTGCCCCTGGCAGAATAGTGAAATTTCACGATTTGCATCCCTCTCTTTGAAAATCTGTGTCTCGAGCTGGGAGCCAGCGTCTTTGCAGTTTAAATGCAAAAAGAGGAACGGCGCCCTTTTATAATTTAATTTTTGGTTTTTTCCGTGATAAGCCAGACGAAGGGCTCTGTGGCACTGCAGTAAACACTTTCTCGCGTTTCTAACTTCACTAGAACATGGTTAGTATTACCGTCGGTCACTCAGTCACTCACTCAGTCACGATCTTCCATACTGTAGAGGGGTCCTATTTAGAAAGAGCAACCATCCACAGTCAAAACCAAAAACGCTGCACATATGTACTATGTACCAATGTAAAGCACATTCATGGACTATTCTAGGCCACATATTTTAATTGTCGGTGTGTCCCCGCGCTTTCAAAACCGCCTTGATATGAGCAGGGTAGGATTGAAGAAATCGGCGGAACTTGGAGGTATCTTTCTTGAGGTCTTCGAGGACGTCTCTAATTGGTTGCCACAGTGCATCATAGGAACCGTCCCTGGTCTCAATGAGCTTCTCCAATTCCTCCTTGATGATAGTTCCAACATGTTGAGCCGGATTGAGGTCGGGGAAGGAGCCGGGCCATTCGTTGTTCGAGAAAAAGTCCAGTCCGGAGTTCCGCAGCAGCTCTTGTGGCGCGAGGGCCTTAAAAGTCGGTGCCTTATCGTGAAGATAAGTTATATCAGGCACGCTGATGACGTTCCTCGGATCACAGAGGAAAGGGATGGCATGCTGCTGGATCTAGTTCCTGAAATTCGCTTCAGGCAACAACCTCTTGAAAGCCAGTGAATTGGTCTATGAAGGTCAAGGTCTCCACATAGTACCTATATGTCCTCAATGAAACTAGCAAACTCCCGCATATATAGGGCCCTAGCTAGAATGAAATTCGCAATTTTCACGATTTTGCTCATGACTTCCTCCAAATCTGGAATTCTTCCCTTGGCACTGGCAGCAAGTGCTTCCTGATGTAAAATACAATGGAAATGTACTGTTTCCCGATTCAGCCAATTTTCCATGAATGTAACAAAGCCGTTTTATCCCCCAGTCATGCCAGGGCACCCATCTGTGGCAAGACTTACCAATATTTCCTTGTGAATTCCCTTCGTACCCAAAAAATAAAAAAAACTGCATCAGCCGGATCTGCACCTTTTGTTGTCCCTTTCATGGCCAAAAATCCAGCAAATTCAGTGTGTAATGTGTTACTGGACACATACCGAGCATAAACTGCCAACTGAGCAATACTCACTACAAATCTGAATTTTTTCAGTCAGTCAAGAATTGTTCTTCAAGATTTTGCTCAATTTCAATTCCTCGATCATGGACAGTGCGTGCAGACAAAGGCATCTCTTTCATTCGCTTCAAAACTAATTCCTTATCCCTGACTCGAGTCAGTAGTTCTTGACAGATCGATGTCATAATGCCCTTTAGTGAGTCACCATCTGATATGATGAAGATGATATGCAGCTGCATGGCTGGCTTGCGTGAGATGGTTGCCTGGGTCAGACCAGACTTTAAATGGCAATGTCTCCTTTTCCAATTTCTTTTCAAGCACATTCACAGCTTGCACACGCTCAAACTTTGTGGGATGTTGTTTGGCAAAATCAGCATGGCAGAAGTTGAAGTGACGTTCAGCATTATTCTCTCTGATACTTCACAACATATGGCACAAAAGGCTGATCATTTCCACTCAATGAAGCAAAACTCCTTCCAGCTTTCCTTGACGCTTCGATATTCATTGCCATACTTTTTCTCTTCGCAGGTTCGGACATCTGACGAATTTGCAGCATTGACTCACATTGTAGCAAGATTCCAGTTTTTGTTGCAAGGAGTTAATTTAACTAATTATTTCCACTGAAGCACTCAGTAAAAATGAGATAATACATGAAGGGTCCCTCTTAAATTCTGCTAGTCTACAGGGAGCAAAATAGTTTTTACTGTTAAAGTACCGGTTTTTCTTTTACTCGAAATCTCAATTGGCAGTACTTTGCTACTGCTCCATGATAGCCATTATTCACAAATGTTCATACAAAATTACAAACAGGTTGATAGATTTAGCCAGGGATGAAGAGTATCTGTTTCACAAGATGAAATGAGTCTAGCTTGAAATTACAGAAGAAAAAAATGGACGAAAATTATTTTTCAAATGACAGAAATTTTTTAAATGCAAATTTGGCGTCAGTTAAATCTCTGCACGTATCCATACTTGTTATGGTTAGCTAAGTGAGAACTCATGCCCAGAGAGGAAAAAAAGCACAAAACATAGCTCACATGCCATAAAATTTAAAACTTGGGTTCAATAAAATCCCTAAGAATCTGGGATGGTAAACGGATCGTCTGAAAACGGACCTGTAGCTGCTCCACAATTATGTCTATGGACATTTTGAATTTGTTTGTCTTGTTTTATAGAAATGACCACAGATGTGAGGAACAATGCAAAATAGGGCGATTTTGAAGCAATACCTGTATATCTTTGAACTTCCTGGGAAAACTATATATTGAATCATGGTGCCCTTTGACACGAAGGCGAATGGGGAAGGTCTCTAAAAAGTGGCCCATGCTTTACACGATGCAATGTATCTTCGGATAATGAGCGAAGGAAGAAGCGAATTCGAGAAACGCGAAATTTCACAAATGCCGCCACGGCGTCTCTGAAAGCAGAGACGCGAGCGCATTGAAATATTTTTCCTTATTTTATATTTTATATCCTGGCCAAAAATATTTAATATTTTTGGCCAGGAAAATGGCGTCAATTTGACGTTTCTGCGATCAAGTTTCGGACACAGATTTTCAAAGAGAGGCATGGAAATAATGACATTTGACCATTGTTTTGACGGTTAAGGTCCTTGACTTGAGAGTGCCAAAACCAGGCTCCAAGACCCCCCCTCCTCGGGGCCCTCTATAATAATTTTATCCCAGAATTAATTCGAAGAGGGTCGATTTCCATCTTCCTTTAGAACCTTAAAACTATGGACAAGATCTTGTGTTTGAAAATGAGTTGAGACATTGGGTTCCTGCATTCAATTCTGAGAGAGAAAGCTTGGGAGGGAATTAAAGAATTTTATTTTAAATCTGAAATTCCGCTCTCTCCATTTTACAACATTCTTCATCCTGGTACCACTAAAAAATATACGTCCATACGAATTACATCGTGTGGATGAAAGTCATTATTTTGAATGACTTAAAAAGTTTCACTCCTCTTCCAGAGCCTTCTCGATATCGGACAATCAGGCAATCGAGGAAATGCCCGAAGGAACGTTCGGCGATGTGTCATTCCGCGCCATCTCCATCACGAATACCGCTTTCAAGACCATCCATCCCTCGAATCTGCTCGCCTCGAAAGACAGGCTTGAATATTTGACCGTCACTCACAGTTCTCTGGATGAATTTATCTGGGATGCGCTGCCCAATTTCCCTAAATTCGAAGGGCTTACACTCGGAACGAATGCATTCACCGAAATGCCACCTTTCGAGAGTTTAAGTATGGAAGAAGTGAACCTATATGGAAATCAAATCATCGCTCTGGAAGCCGGGTCCTTTGCGCCGAACTTGCTGCGTTTCTTCCTGGGTAAAGACAGTGCCGTTTCGTTTCGCTGAATCCAGGAGGGAGCACCAAATAAAATACACAATAGGAATGTAAGGGAGAGGCGGGCATACGATGTACCGTGAAGGAGGAATCCTCAGCACTTAATCATAGAACATCTCTTTTCAAGTCAAAATGATTTATACTCTCCCATCGATTAACATACGGGGTTTTCTTTAAAGCCGCTGCTCTCATGGATGTGCACTTTTTTCGGAAGAAATCTCAGAAGTACTTCTCTTCTCGTCTCATCGTCAATCCTTTCTCTTTCTTCCTTCGTTTTCTTGCCATCCCCTCAGCATTTTTTTCTTACCTGACATCGTGATGATGCCGGGAAGGGCTCATAACATCTTTACATTGTGAATGCTTTTCATGGCCTTTTGTATTCCATCAACGCAAAATTTCAATTGAAGAACTTACTGTCTATTTCAAGATCGGTTTTAGAGACACAGATGTCTCCTCCGCTTTCATTTATTCACTATTCCTATGCTCGTACTATTCCCTTTTCTACTATGCCTAGTACCACCTCGACTCGCTTTTCAAAGGGGAAATCGTCATCCAGTTGGCTGTTGGGATCTTCCTAACGCTTGCGCCACTCACTGGTCAAGTTGCATCAATGAAACTAGCTCTCATATCGAACACGAATATTGTAAGGGGGCCTCGTTAATGGCTGGCAATACTCTCTTGCATACTCGTCGCGTAGTAATTTTTTTGTGCCTACAAGTGCGTGGCTATGAGACGATTTTCATATCCTGCAGATGGAAATCCTGTGGCGGAAATCGAGCCTGGATTCTTTCATGGTTTCGAGAGTTTGCAGTTGTTTTCTTGTCGTTCATGCAAACTGGGACCGATTCTTTCAAAAGGTTCCTTTGCATTCCTTGGACACATTCCAGAACTTTTCATCGAAGGGAACGGAATCACAGGGCTTGAACCTGAAGCCTTTTCAGGTACAATTTAGCTAAGGCACGATGAGTGTGCTTGAAACTCATTATCCCTGTTCTCACCATACCTTACGTATTTTCGGATGTCATTTTATGACGTGATTGGAGAAACATCGTTTCCTTCTTCATTCCAGGTTTCCCGACGGATGCTAATATCAATCTTTCATGGAACAGCATAGTGTACTTAATTGAAGAGTCATTCCGGCCCATAGTTGAGGTCCTGTCGTTGGGGGGAGGGAATATCGGATTGGAGGGTGAGTGTCCCGACTGCCCACCTCCATGTCACCTTCATACCAATTTCAAACCAATTTCATACACATAAAATCTACTTTTTCTCCCGCGTGTTTTAGGTAACCCCGTCGTGTGCGACTGCAGCATGGCCTGGCTTGCTCTGAATCCAGGCTTCTTGGAGAGCGTGTCGGGTCGTTGCCCCGATGGGACGCCCTTCTCAGACCTTTTTCCAGAGGACTTTCAAGAGTGCGGTACCTTTGATTAATGAGTGACGAACTGGCTCTCCTATGTCGCTTCTCATTGTTACAGATTTCCCCTCCAAAATGAGATACTAGAATGAGCCCAGTTTCTGAATAAACAATACCCTCGGTAGAATACCCTCAATTTTTTCTTTCAATCCAGTCGCACTGACTGCCATGTACTTCAGCATTTCTGGCAGGAACGCTAATAGTTGTAATGTACTCCACGCGAACGACCAATGAACCTCTGACTTAAATGAATAATATTGATACACTTGCTGGATTCTCATGTATGCGAGCATGCGAAAGACTGACACCCCAAGCTGGTGCCTGTGGACTGAAGGTGTTTTGGAGATTTAGAAAAGCGAATTGGGAAATAGACAGGGAAAAAAAGAGCATTGTTATTGCTTCGTCGCAAAAGTGTTTCAACTTTGCGAATGTTCTTTCCAATAGGCCCAGAGAATAACTGAGCCAGAAGAACTAAACCTTCAGGATTGCGTTGAGACTGACCACACGATGCATCACTTTCCCGAAAGGAAGAATTCCGACGTGGTCGCATCAAGGTGAAAAGCCCTTCTGGATATATAATAATTACAGTTCAAATTATTTTGCAATCGGTTGGGCATTGTTTCTTTAATGGGGGAGAATCATTTAGCATTTCGGACATAACAAAACTTTGGAAGGATTTGAACGTGAGCCTTCAGCCGTCATGAAAACTTGTTCATAAACGTTAGACATACGTTCATGAACCTCTTTAGGTGCTTTCCCTTCTTTGGTGAGGAATTTCATCACTGAACGATGTTCGACTTTCGTCATATCCATGACACAGACTCGGGAAAAGAAATCTAATGCGCTACCACTTTGAACGGACTTTAACCTCTGAGCTGGTATAGTGGTAGGGCACTCACGAGACCTGTCGAGACATGTCACAACAGGCACAGGCCTGTTGCTCATCCCTTTCATATTCAGGTAGATAACGTATTGAGTGGCCCTCGTACCATCCCAGATGCAGATTACCTTCTCTACATCATCCCGGTAGAAGAGTCTCCTTTCCACAGTGGTCATGTGGATTCTCAGGTTTTCGCGGTTCAGTCGCTTGAACCCCAAGTGATGAGGAACGAAGTCCTGCTCCAGGCAAGACCTATATTTCCCCATTAAACACTCAGCCGATATACAAGGGATGTTGAAGAGAGGTGTCAGCCTCTCATCAGTTTCTCCGGTTCTCAGCTCTGCTAAAAATAGCGGCAGCGCCTTATTTGTTTATTTCCTTTCTTGTATTTATAGGCAGGAAACACTCCTGGAGAAGCATTTTTGGAAGGCGTAGTCCGATGCTCGGCCAAAGAGTCGCTCATCTCTAAAAACAAAAATAGAGAATGGCAGAGTTACATAGGACCATCAATTTCAGAGTGCTGAGCATTTCTTCAACCTGAACTGACGAGTAACTGGAAGGCTCGGTAAATGTTGAATTTAATCAATTCGTTGAACAAAGAGAATACTCAAACAGCATGTTTACTTAAACAATATATCAATTTTTTGCAAAGAATGTAAATTTCTTGCGATTGCATGAAAATGGCATTACGTTTACGTAAAATTTACGTTCCTATATTTACTTCACCAAAGTGTATGTGTATCTTACATCAACTAAACGTCACTCCATATGATGCGAAGTACATGATATGAAGTTAATGAGTAGTTAAGATCACAATTTCCATATGAAACTTTAGCTGATCAACCTGTAGTTACAGTACCAAGATTCCTCACTAGATGGAACCCTTGTTTCCTCCACCATACAAATGCTATTAAGTACTGATTTCCCGATATAATATCAGGTTTTCTTATCATCTTTCCACTTTTTATTATACAATCCAAAAAGATATGCATGGAAACCAGGAAATCTAAATTATAAAGACGATCGTGACTGACTGACGCTAATTCCAACTATGTTCTAAAGAAGTTAAAAATCTCAAACTTGGTACACATGCAGATAATGGGATGCAGAGTTTAGAAAAAATCTAACTTGGAGGTACATGCCCCTGGGGGTGAACATGTTGGGAGGATACGTTTTTAAAGATATATATTGTAACGGATTAGGATGGCAGCGAGAGGATTCATTGGATGTCATGTGTTTAATGGTGTAGTGCACCTGACTGGCAAACAAGAGGCCCGGGTTCAATTCCCGCCCGTTCATTGCCTTTATTTGGGCCTCTTATACCTTCCAAGTCACGTTACTCATTCCCCATCCATAGCAATAATTTTCCTTTAGTAAAACCGAGAGACATGGAAAACTGAAACATGGCAAGGAGATGCCTACAGAGACGTTGAGTTCAGGAAAAATGTAAACGAGTTTGTTTGCCCGAAGGTCAAACAAACTCGCTTGTTATTACGTATTTTAACGATATATGACTCAGGGAATCATTAAATGCTGAAGCTAAGCTTGTTATTACGGCAGTGCACGGGATTAGGGAAGAGCAGAATCCCAGCTTCACAAGTACTATACTGTACTATACAAAAAATCTCTGCTTGATTCCCGCCCCACCCCTCAAGCTGCTCCTCCTCTCTTCTTCGACTCCCTCTTTTCTACACTGGATATTTCCGGATGGAACCGATAAGGTTTTCCGTTCCAGATTGATAATCAGGGCGTCTCGCCCTTGTACATTATTTGTCAAGACATGGTACAAGGTAATTAGGGCTCGAATACACGTAGCAGGATTTGCGATGGCATCACAACTGCCCTTTGCTGAATATGTCATCTCGTTAATTTTATAAGCCCATACTCGCCAAACCCTTGAGGGCTGTGCACGTGCCACCTCTGGAAAGTGCTTAAATAGGTTTTCTCTGTCATGTAAAGTTCAGCTTTTCACTGCTTTAAATTGGCCTATTCCCCTGCGTATATTATAATGTCTCCTAAAAAAAAACCTTTAAAAATTAAATATTTCATAATAGCTTAACATATTTACATAATTTAAAAATATTTGTAAAGTGCAAACATGTGAGTTCCTAATGGATACACTAGGCTTGGAACTTAATGTCAGTCAAATGACAAACACAATGGGGACCATCATCAATTAATAGTGCTCTGTTCATGAACCGTCGTTCTTTCAATTATTCTCACAAGATACGATCAGGGGGGTCTAACATCAGGAATTCTAGGAGGCGATTCCAAATCTCGAAATCAGTTTCCCTGGAGAGTGCTGCTAAAAAAATGTAATGCATCAGTCCCCCTGATAATTACTCTTAATTACTGGGCTATTTGAAAGAACAACTGTTCTTGAACAGACAACACATTATTGATGAACTTAAAAATTAAAAAATACTGGCATTCAGGCAATTCCTAATGCCATCCTCAATAAGGTCGTGAATGACATGTCAACATATGAATATGTTGCCTGTGGAGGTGGTAATTTGAGTGCCATAACTTCCAAACCCTTGTATCACTATTAAAAACTCCCATATGTGCAGTTTAAAAATGTTTTGGAATTTGTAAATATGTTAATCCATCAGAAAAATTTTCATTTTGAAATGTGTCTCATCCTTTCACCATACCCTGTATATTTACTTTGCGTTCGATTATTATTCAAACCGGAGGACCTCGGTTCGGAAGCAACCGAGGTTATACAGGGTGTCCAAAAAAATGTATACACACTTCTTCAACTCATAACTCAGTAACCTTTTCTCTTTTTCAGTTGCAAGTTGGTTGTAATAATGCAAAATCCCAGACTTACATTTGAGCAGCGGAAATTTGTGTTGAAGTAATGCCTGGATGAGAATGGAGGACATTTTGAACACTTGCGTTAATGCATAATTTTTTCTCACATTTTTTCTTCATTATAAAATTATAAAATTGAATTTATGAAATTAAACATAGAAGTAATTAGCAAAGTGTGTATACATTTTTTTTAGACACCCTGTATGTATAGCGTGCGTGATCTTAACCCATAGCTAGCCCGAGCGACAAAAACGTTTTGTGTGTGTGCGGCAGCTCTACAAGCCAAACGTGTAGAGATATGAACTAAGGATTTCAGCAGAAATATTCCTTATCATCTGAGGATGTACCTTTTCGTAATGAAGTTTGCAAATCGGCCTCACGAAAGGGAAGGGAGGCAACATTCATGGAATATCGGAGCTTGGTTCTCGTCTCGCCATCCTTCGGATGGACAAGGAGACGAGAGTTGCTATGGTGCTCGAAAGGAGACTCTGGGATCGCTCACTATGGCGCCTCCCGCCAGGTGTCTTGAATCTATGGATTTCAAGCCTCTTTGATAGAATACGGGACGATTTGTTAATTCCTGGTCACTTCACAGGGGCTCCGCGAGGAAGTGCATCACTGCAGCTTTCCGTGGAGATTCATCTTACTAGCAGAATTCATGCATTGCAGATTGCACGAACTTTCTTCGCTGCTTAAACCACCTTTAGTCATTTGAAAGCCCTCTAGAACGATGCAAGAGAGCCGACGAGCGCGAGAGTTCTTCGAAGGTTGCATATTGTTTTCCAGTATCGCAGTCGCATCGGAAGATAGCAACAGATTGAAAGCACAATCTATGAAGGATGGGAACTTCCAGTAAAAGATGTGATTTGCGAATCCTGACTGAGCCATGTGCTGCATGTTCCCTGTCTGCCTCCATGCGGTTTAGCTGATGCATGATTCCACCTGTTGATGTGTCTGGGGTTGGGATTATCCCACATTTAAGCGGTTCATTTCCCTTTCTTGCGGTCTCGCATTTGCGCGCCACCCCTGAGAATATGTGTTGTAGATTGCAGCAAGCAAGACTTGATAGTGTTAATCTAAATTAGCTAGCAAAAAAAAGCTACAAGGTTATTTAGAGCTAAAACCCACGCAGCAGGGTTTGTGATGACATTACAACTGTATGATCCTGATAAGATAAATAAGGTACAAGTATTGGACGCCACATTGCGACAGTTTCATCATGGTCGAAGAAAGGTAAGGTCGTTGACTCAGTGACTTATATTCCCAATGTAGGTCATTGCTTCCAGTTGGTGTAAGTGCAGAGAATAGAATTTCGGATAATGTGATGGTAATGAGACTGGTCAGAGTTCTTTCAGACATATCCCATTCACCTAAATTGATTTAACTATATTTGGAAGAGAGGGTTCCTCTCAAAGGACTCT